TGGGAGAAACTTTGGCTTAAAAAATACTTTCTGTAAGAAAACGTTTCCCAACAATGTGATACAGCAGAACATTCCCCCCCCCTGTAGTTCATTACCATCAAGATGTTTTTATCATCAAAGGAAGCATTTGATCTGACTAATAATGACAATGTTCCAATATTTTGGTTCTGTGTTGTGTCCCCGACCCCCACCCCACCCCACCAGACCAGACCAGACCAGACCACAACAGAACAGAAGAAAACAGAACAGAACCGAACCAATCCAGTGTTGAGTGATCTCACCTCTTTACATGTCCACAGTTAGGATTTATCTATAAATGTATGTTTTGGAACAGGAGTCATGCTCTGCTGGGATGAAATATAATGTCTGGTGGAGGTGTAGAAGTCCCCAGGGGCCTCTCAGTCAAATTGGCCCCACTCCTGGTGTCAGGACCCCGCCATGACCTTCATCACTCCTCACTTCCCACGCTGCATTTTCCCACCGACGTAATTACGCACTCAGGATGGTCTTGGAGGCCAATGGGATGTGAGGGCCACCACCTTGCTTCATCTTAAGTCAACAGAAAGTGATGAGTCAAAGTTGTTTCAGAGATGTTTTCCTGCTTTTCAAAATAAACCTCTTCCCTGCTGTTGGACGAAGGCAGCAGAGTTAAAGATTTGCAGGTTAAGTGTGCTCAAAGGTTAGAACAAGGAAGGGTTTTGTACTGGCAGCCCTGTCAAATAAACATCAGGCTTGGTGTTTGCACGAAACAACAGCAGGAGTCATAACTTCTTCTCCTGCAGTAATAACATATGCATTCCTCGAGAGAATTGTTTGTATGTGTTCAACTTATAAAAGTGTTATAAAATAGTAGATTTTCTCTGTGGAGTTTGAATCGGACACCCAAAACCTCGGGTAATTTCGGGATCTCCAGTGATTCCAGCTTCCCCAGAGGTTCCTGAGGCTCTCACCTCCCCAGTGGTGCCGGAGGTGACGTTGGCCACACCTCCGGTGGCGCCGGAGGCGAAGGTGGCCACACCTCTGGTGGCGCCGGAGGCGACGGTGGCCACATCCACGTTGGTTCCGGAGGCAATGGTGGTCACACTCCTGGTGGTGTCGGAGGCGAAGGTGGCCACACTTCCGGGGGGGTTGGAGGCACACTTCCGGTGGTGTGGGAGGCGAAGGTGGCCACACATACCTCCAGTGGCTCGTGAGGCGGCAGCAGTTGCGATGACTCCTCCACAGGTTTGGGAGTTGTCGACGACGGACACACCTCCAGTGGTTCGGGAGGCGGCGGCAGTGATTACTCCTCCAGTGGTTCCGAAGGTGCCTGAGGACATTGCACCCTCGGAAGTTCCGGTTTCTGTGGCTGACGCTCCCTCAGCAGTTCTTGGTTCTGCTAGGGGAGGCTCTATGACTTTTGGTATGCCTTGATCTAGGAGAGGGACTCCTTACCAAAGATTACCAAAATTCCAGGCCCAAGTACCCTAACACTTGGCCTGGATTTTTCTGTACCTTGGTCTAGGGAACTTGTCTTTGGTAAGGAGTCCCTCTCCTAGATCAAGGCATACCAAAAGTCATAGAGTCTCCCCTAGCAGAACCAAGATTTTTTTTTCCCCCTTGGGCATAGTTTTTTGATGTTTTTTGAGTAGGCCTTGTTTTCAGTTCATGTAGTTCTGTTGTTGGTGTTGCACCCAACCCAGAGAGTTGATGAGGAGGTACTGTCAGGTCTGTCTGTTTCCTGTTCCTGCTGTCTGCTGTGTGGGGTAATCTGTGTTATCACACTCACCTGGGTGTCTGCAATTAGCCTCACTAATGTGTCACCTGGTGCTCCCTGCATATATACCTCTCTCTCACACTCTGGCCTTGTGGGATCATTGTGCTGTCTTTGTGTGCTCTGTATTGTCCGTGCCAGCGCTGTGTCGAGCATTATATTGTAGCTGTTCCTAGTCTGTTCCTGGGCAGGTCTGTTCCTGTTCTCACCTCTGCTCAACTTTGCGTATGCTTCTGTCCTGGTTTTTGGAATTTAGATTTTTGAAATAAACTACCTGCACCAGTCCTGCATTTGGGTCCTGCCTCCTGCCTGCTCCCCGTGACAAGATTAAGAGGAAGTCAAAAAAAAAGAAAAAAAAAGAAAGAAAGGGAACAAATTTACTAAAGAGTTTTAGAAAATTAAAAAACATAAACATAACTGAAAGGCTAACAAAATAGCTAATAATTGTCCAAACTATTCAATGAAGATCAGCTGGTAGTAGTAGCAGCTGGTACAAGTATTCTAAAATGGTCTAGATTTTTGAAATAAACTACCTGCACCAGTCCTGCATTTGGGTCCTGCCTGCTTCCTGCTCACCGTGACAAGATTAAGAGGAAGCCAAAAAAAAAAAAAAAAGAGGGAACAAATTTATCTTAGCCACAAAAAATGCAGCAAAAAAACCAAAAAAAACCAACAAATTTTAAAAATATTTTAGATGTAGTTAAAAGAATTTGATTTTTAATTATTTTCTGCGATGCCATCCCTAAGGGACAGATTCTGCATTTTGCATACAATGCCCTGATTATTCAAATAGATTAATAACATAAGCTGCAATGCCTCCATCTAGTGACTTACACTTTATATACAGCTGTTTTTTTTAGGGCACACATGATTTAGCGAAACCCAGAAATTGCGTTATCTGGTTTTCATTATCGGATTAAAAACAGATTCTTACAGATATTACAAAATGGTGCTAATATTGGACGGCTGATATTACTAGACATCCTTACTAGACATTTTTAAGCCAATAGCCTAAAACAAGACTGATTGATTAGGATTTTCAACACCAGTCAATACAATGTAATGCAGTGCATATTGTAATGAAACGTCAATTAAATGAATACATAATTGTACCCAGCCAAGCTTTTCAAACCACATGGCTGGCTCTTCATTCCACAGAAGCTATTATAGAAAAAAAAAAAGTTCCAACAATTCCAAGAAGAGCAATGGGTTCCAGCAACAAGTTTGAGATGAGTCAAGTTTATCCTGTTGGAAGATTGGTATCCTAAGGATCTGGTCTGGTGTGGACTATTCAATTATAAATTACTTTGGCCTTAACAGTTTTTAAAAACTTAGACAAGCATTTCGGACACCAACATACCTGACACAGTTCTGATCCTAAAGAGTGTGAACATAGTAAGTGCAAAAATCCAGTTAGTTCTATGGAACACAATCACCTATTGCGAGCAGAATCAGTCTATTCTATTGATGTTTTTCTAGTTTGCACCAACAGAGGGCGCCATTTAATACCAGGAAAGTGATTTCACGTTCCTGCTTCTTAGTTTATACCCAAGTGTCAGTCTTATCTTTAACAGCTTTGGTCAGAGTGGCAGCGATATAGATACAGGGAAGGTTTAAATGTGTGTAAGGCTGTCTGTGTGTGTGTGCGTTTGTTCCGTAATCCGAGCTCCGAGGTCAGAGTGCACGTTTGCCTTCTGAAGCTCTGGAGTAAACATTAAAATAAAGCTTCACACAGGAAACCCCCCTAATCTGTCTGTCACACCAAAAAAACAAAAACAAAAAAATCCCCAAAAAACAAGCCTCTCTTTCTCTCACACACACACACACACGCATTCACACACAGTATTTTCTCTCTCTGTTAGAGTTGGTCGTGAGTGTCAGATTTAATCTGCTACCGGGGTCGAGCTCGCTCTGGGGTACGAAGAGAAACCCATCAATTTGAGTTTGTTTGCGTATGTGTGTGTGGTTGGTGAGCAGAGGAGGAAACTGCCTTGACAAATTTAATAAAACACCTCGGCATGGCCACAGCTCCTCAACTCGACTTCTGTGAATAAATATATGTGTGTGTGAACCTGCTACACACTGCATTACCACTGTGTATAATTGTCTCATTTTTTTTTTCCTTCTCCCCCCTCCGACGGCCATTTCTCTGTTCAAGAGTGAATCCTATTACGCGTATCACCATCACACTCACGGTGGTGGATGGAGAAGACAACAGCCATGCTGTGATCAAGACGATTGATCAGCTGTTTGTTGTGGTGCTGATCTTATTGATTGGTGAAATGTTCTATTATTTCCCATCAGTCATATACAAACAAGGTTCCCTAAAATTTGCAAACAGGAGATTTTATCAGTGACTAAACTAGACCTCAATACAAGGTAAATAGTATTCTGCAACAAAACATGGTTGTAGTGTTCAGCCCGCTGATCTGGCCAATCAAAACCAAACGAGTATAAGCCAGGTCCTCTCCTGGCCTCGAAGAACCCAAGGTGCTAGCCTTCTGACACAAAAGTATTAAAACTAATCAGCTAACAGATTAAAAAGTAACACACCAGGGCCTGTTCTGGGTCAAAATACTAGTTTTAAACCTCACGGAACCAATTTACTGTATCTATTTTTGATATAGAAAAAAAAAAAAGCTGGCAGCTTGTTTGTAAAAAAGGTATGCTGTTGAAAATTGGATTGTCTTGTTCTCATATATGAGAAAAAAAAAATTGCTGTTTTTACGGTAAAGCCGTGGTTGCCGAAAAAGTGCCGTAAAATTACAGTAAAACAGTTTCTTCATTTACTGTAAAAATAAATGTTTGTATTTCAGTATTTTAAAAAATGTAAAAAGTTCTATTATGTGAAAAATACATGTTTGTTTTCATTTAAAATGACATGGGAATATTTTTATTTTAAAAGTACAATGCCGGCAGCCGTGGTTAATTTACGGCTTGATAATGTTGACTTTACGGTTAAAAGTGTTCTTGATTTCCTATTTACTCTGTACAATTAACGGTATAAATTGTAAGTTACAAATTTGTTCTGTAAAAGATACCATGGATTCTTGCGAATGTTAAGGTCCAAACAGAAATCTCCCTAAACATTACAGTAAATGCGTGATACTGAAAATGTAGGATGTGCATTTTTAATCGTTTATGTAGTGCAGTCCTACTTTTGTTTCTGTAAACTTCATACACAGCACACAAATTTATATTGTTAAATTAGTTAATGTTCCAAAAATCACAAAAAACATTCACCGTAGTACTTTTCAATACAAACTCTTTATTTGAAGTCCAAACTTTTCCAACTTTGCCAGCACAATAAACTGCAGTAAAAACGTAAAAACACTCTACTCACAAACTGTAACAGTTTGAAAAAGCCAGCGATTATTTTCTTCTTTTCACACTCAACTTTGGTGCCTCTGTAGATGAGAAGAAACTCCTTCATGAGAGAGAGAGAGAAAGAGTTAGAACAAAATTCGTTTTAAAATGATTGCAGTGAGCAAAATGAGTGGACAGATTTAATAGGTACACACCCTTAACAACAAAATATCTGCAGTGTATATCATATCAAACGTCATCCCTCGACATCACTGGTAGGTCCACTCATGGTTGGCAAGGTCTGAGATCAGTGTCAAGACTCTGGGACTGACCAATAACACTTTTTTACTCTTCTTGTGTACTTATTTACTGAGTTTACTCAGTATTACTGCATGCAGGGTATGCTAGGAACTATTTGTAATTCTAATAATGATAAAGAATTCAATTTTTCCCGTTGGAGGAACTCAAGTGTGGACTGTAGTTTTACCAGGCAGTGTATGTTGAAGCAGTAGTAACTGCCAAACATCAGGCAGATGGCAGATGTGAAGAAAGTGATGTGGTTGTTGACAACCTCTCAGTCAAAGCTCAATATAAATGTCTGAGCACCAATGCAGGAGGACCCTAGGAATTAAAAAAACAAAGAAAAATTAAATGAAATGACAACAGCTTCAATATCAGCATAACTAGAAATTCAATGGTACTCACTGGCGTTCACAAAGTGAGACGGTGCATTTTAATGGCGTTAAAGTCACGTCCTGATAAACTGTTGATGTACTGTTATGGTGACGATAGAAATGCGATTTTAAAGCTGCATATCCCGAAAGCACCTGCTTACAACTTGTTGCTACACAGTTGAAAAAACGTCAGGGTTCATTGCGGTGGAGTTTGCAATGCAAATTATATGCTTTTACAGATTGGACGTTTTCTCCACATGTTAT